GGAAACCCGGGGGCAGCCTCAGGCAATGCCTTAGAAGCGGGGGGCTGAGGGTCCCAGCCAACCGCCCACTCTCTGCATCCTCTCCTCAGGCCCCCACCGCGGGCTTCGCCCCAGCTAGCTGCCACAACCTGCCACTCCTCCCATGCAGAGATGGAAGGACTTGCCCCTTCCTGGCCCAAGTCCTCTTTCTGGAGGCTTGTGCATCCTCCCCGGGGCCGAGGGGTGGGGTGAGGGGACCCCTTCTGCGAGGGTTCTCCCGGGCCAGAGGTCCCGCCTGCCACTTGTCCACCCGAGGCCTCCTCTGCAGGCCTGCCACCCTCCTGGCAGCAGGGCAACTTTACCTTCGACCCCGGGGAAATGCCCAGGAGCCGGCCTGCTGCTTCCTCCCCTCCTTCGTCCAGGGAAGACCTGGGGAGACGAACGGCCCACGTTGGTCAGCTGGGTCCCCCACGGGCTGCCAAAATGCACCACCAGCACCATGGACCAACAGCAGCCTAGTGCCCTCAGGCCAAGCCCCACATCCCACTGCTCTGTGGACACAGCCCCTAAACCAGACGCCACCTAAGAGAGAAAGGACGTGACCTGGAGCAGGCCAGCTCCCCGCCCCTCCCCGCGGCCCCCAGCGGAGGCCCCTGCGCCTTCCAAGGAGGGTCCCGGGCCCTCCTCCCCCTGACGCACCAGCTCGGCAGTGCTCCGAATCCTCTTTTTGCATGAATCGTTCTCCAAAGCCCGAGGCTTTTCCACGAGCGAGTCCTAGAAGTCTACTAGTTCTTAACTCTGATTTTAACGCGGCTGTGATTAATTTCTCATCCCGCTTAGGCATGAAACTTGCTGTGGGAAGTCTTTTCCCTTAACAGCACGCTGGAAATGTTTTAAATGGAGGGGTCTTCCAGCTGCTCAGCCTCCGCCCGTCCTTTGCCGCAGAGCCATTTCTCTCTTCCCCAAAGATCTCAGAAAGACCCGCCGGGGGACAGAGCCTTTGAGGATACGGAAGGCTTGGGCAAGGCAGGGGCAAAACGTTCCAGGCAAGACTGCCGTGTCAGACCGCGCTCAGGGCGCACCAGGGCCTGTCGCTGGTTCTTTTGGCAACACCCCTTCCCCATCCCTCTGGGGCTGCCATGGTCTGGCAGGAAGGAGACAGGCTCCAGTCTTGGGGCATCAACACATCTGCAGGCTGGTGACAGAGCAACTCGGGGCTCCGCAGGGTCCTTGCAGCAGCAGGGGCTGGATCCACGTGGGAGAACCCTCCGCCGAGTTCCTGAGACCCTCTTCCAGTACCACAGCCACGAGGTCCCCCCCACTCACCGGACGCCAGGGGATCCCAAGGATAAGCTGGAGTGGCCCTCATCTGACTGAGGCTCGGGGGTCGCCCCCTCTGGCGGAACCTCCTGGGGGAGAGGAAGAGCCAGTGAGGAGCAGCCGCAGGCCCACCCCTCATGCCCCCTGGCGGCCCCCCAGCCCAGGCAGCCACTCACCTTCCAGAAGTCTGGACTGGTGTCAGGGTCCGTCTGCCCAAGGTCCATCCAGGGGAGCTAAGGGGCGAGGAGGAGGAGGACGTGAACAGAGAGCACTGCCCTCCCCGTCTTCGCCCATACGCACATCATTGCGCACCCAGCCTCACGGCTGCTCCCCCTCAAGGCGGCAGCTCAGGACCCAGCCAACTCCCCACATCTGCCCCGACGGAGGAGCCGGGCCCCTCGAGGTCAGAGGGGGCATCAAGATCCCTGGAAAGGCCTCCAGAGGACACAGCTTGGAGCAAAGGTGACTCTTGGATCACGCCAGCACCCTCCAACAGCAGAAGGGCCGCCCCAGAAACAAGGTCAGGCTGCTCCAGAGGGCTTGGGAAAGGAGTGGGTAAATCCTAGAGCACGACGACCCTGCACCGCAGGGAACCCAGCCCCTGCTGTGGCTCTTGTGCAAACTGGCCTGCCCCAAAAAAGCCTCTGGTGTCCGTGCAAAGGCGGCCCTTGTGGCAGGCAGGGATCAGGCCTCATGTGGGGTCGGGCGCCCTCCCACCTCTCACCTGAGTCTCCCTGGAAGGGGTGTTTCCTGCTGAGTCGCCACTTCCACTGCGCAAGGGAGGTTCCCACTGAGTGGTGCCCGTTGGAATGTGCCAGTAGTAGGTGCCGGATATGTCTTGAACCCGCATCCATCCTGCTGGGAGGTCAGAGTCTGTCTCCAGGGAGTTACACAGCCAGAAAGAGTCTGCCGAGAGGAGGAGGGAAGTCAGCCAGGTGCGTGGTCTCGAAGCTGGTCCCGGGCAGGTAAATAACCCACCTCCCACCCATGGCTGTCCGACCGTCTGCCACTCCTGCCACCCCACATCACGGTCGCCCATGGGGGAAGGGGGCACAGGATGGAGCTTGCACAATCGAGGGTTTGTGGGGAGGCTAGCAAAGGAAGAGAGAGCAGATAACGACAATCAGGAGATGTAAGGCGAGTCTGTGGCACCTTAGCTCGTGGCAACAGCGATCCAGCCCAGGTGGGGAGGAATCTGGGGGAGATGGGCGGCATATAAATTTAATCAATCAATCTGGGAAGAAGCATTTCGAGGCACCCTGAGAGACTCAGCCTAAAGGAGACCACCACAAAGGAGGCTGGAAATTCCTCTTGCAGGTCCAAGATTCTGCACCTACCTAGGACTAACGTGAAAGAGACCCTCCTGAGGTCTGGGCGGTTCTTGCTTCTGGGTCTTGGCCCACCTGTAAGGGGCCTGACACGCAATAACGTCCTTGTGCAGATGTATGCGTGCACGTGCCAGAGGTCTGGGCATTATTACGTAATGGCAGCCTTTGCACAAGGATGCCACTGTGCTGCCCCGCCCTGCCCCGCCCAGCCCAGCCCCTGAGGGCCAGGGGTCAGGGAGCTCAGTGCCCTAAGCCTAGCCTAACCATCCCAGACTCGGGGTCACGTTCAGCTCCAGTTCTGACTGGAGCCTGACTGGAAGGGGCAGTTGCTGGCCCCGGACTTCCTATCAGCACAGCAGCTGGAGAGGAACCGGCAGGAACAACCCACAGGGATGTCAGAGGATCCTACCCACTTCCCCTGCAAGTCCTCGCGCATCCCACAGGCACACAGCAGAGCCTCGCTCTCACTGGAAATCCTGGCAGGTCTCCCCACGCTAAGCAAAGCCCAGGCCCCTAGACCCACCCCCATCCGGT